CGCCGTCCCCCATCTTCAGACGAACGTCCAAGCCTAGTCCATCATCGGACCGGCTCCGCCTTCCTTCATGTTCAATCTGGCGTCAACGCCTTGCCCTTCATCACATCTCGGCGTGATACTCTCTCAAGACCGGCTTCCTCAGCGCCGAGTCTTGAGCTAGCGATCGGGCTTGCCATCCCTTCCTGAATGGTGACCATCGCCCTTATATGACGATCGACTTCATTCTTGCCTCGTCATCATATTATTGGACCGACCTCTCATCGTCGTCGTCCGCACATCACGACCAGCCTCTCGGCATGGTGTGATTATCTTTATGAAGACCGGTTTCATCCCCGCACACTAGGGATGTGAACTGTTGCTCGGATCTTTGGATCGGCCCTTCAGTGCTGACGTCCTTGCATCACCTCGGTCTCAATGTAATAATCATACTCTGAAGACCGGCCTCATCCTCTCACTTTATGGATAAGGACCGCTGCATGGACTTTCGGATCGACCTCCCAGTGCTGACGTACGTACATCATGACCGGCCCCTCGACCTCGGCATGATGATCTATTTAGAGACCGGCTTCCTCAGCGTCGAAGTCTTGTTATAGCGACCGGGCTCGTTACTCCCTTCCCAGATGGGGACCGTCGCCCCTATATGACGAATGGCTTATCATCGCCTCGTCCTCATATTCAGACCGGCCCCAGCGCCGAAGTATTTATCTAACGACTGGGCTCTCTATTCCCTTCCTTGATAGTGACCGTCGCCTTTATATGACGATCGGCTCATCATTGCCTCGTCATCATATTATAGGACCGACTCTGCATCGCCGTCGTCCTCATATCACGATCGGCCTCTCGGCCTCGACGTGATTATTTATCTCGAGACCGGTCTTAGTCATTCCTTTACCAGATGACGACTGTTGCATGAATCTTCGGACCGGCCCCACAGTGCCTTCATCCTCATATCACGACCGACCCCTCGACCTCGACGTGATTATTTATCTCGAGACCGATCTTAGTCATTCCTTTACCGGATGGCGACCGTTGCATGGATCTTCGAACCGGCCCCTCATAGCTTTCGTCCTCATATCACGACCCGCCCCTCGGCCTCGACGTGATTATTTATCTCGAGACCAGTCTTAGTCATTCCTTTACCAGATGGCGACTGTTGCATGGATCTTCGAACCGAACACTCAGTGCCTTCGTCCTCATATCACGACCGACCCCTCGGTCTCGACGTTATTATTTATCTCGAGACCGGTCTTAGTCATTCCTTTACTGGATGACGACCGTTGCATGGGTTTTTGGACCGGTCCCTCAGTTCCTTCGTCCTCATATCACAACCGGCCACCCGGCCTCGACGTGATTATCTATCTCAAGACTGGCTTCCTCAGAGCCGAGAGTCTTGAGCTAGCGATCGGGCTTGCCATCCCTTCCTGGATGGTGACCATCGTCTCCGTATGACGGCCGACTCATCATCACCCCGTCATCATATTATAGGACCAGCTCCTCATCGCCGTCGTGCGCACATCACGACCGGCCCCTCAGCCTTGACGTGATTATTTATCTCAAGACCGGCTTCTCCAGCGCCGAGAGTCTTGAGCTAGCGATTGGGCTCGCCATCCCTTCCTGGTTGGTGATCGTCGCCTTTATATGACGATCGGCTCATCATCGCCTCGTCATCATATTTCGGATTGGCTCCTTCTCATCGCCATCCGCGCATCACGACCGGACCCTCAGCCTCGGCGTGATTATCTATCTCAAGACCGGCTTACTCAGCGCCGAGAGTCTTTAGCTAGCGATTGGGCTCGTTATTCCCAACCCGGATAAGCGAGTGTCGCCTTCATATGACGAGCGGCTCATCATCGCCTCGTCATCATATTACGGACTGGTTCCTGGTCATCGCCATCCGCACACCACGACCGGCCCCTCGGCCTCGACGTGATTATTTTCTCAAGGCCGGCTCCCGGCGTCGAAGTCTTGAGCTAGCGATTGGGCCCGTCATCCCTTTCTGGATGGTGACCATCGCCTCTATATGACGGCCGGCTCATCATTGCCCTATCATCATATATTCAGACCGGCTCGTCAGCGCTGTCGTCCTCATATTCGGACCGACTCATCAGCGTCGTCATCCTCATATTTAGACAGGCGTCCACCGCCTTGTCCCCGTATTCAGATATAGCAAACATCTTGCGGTCTTCGGCTGAAAGGCTAAAGAAGCCCAGAGTTCAGCCATATATCGCTCCATCATCTCTATTTGATGACGCGAAGCTCATTTACAGGCCCATCGACCATGTATCACTCCGTCATCTTTATTTGATGACGCGAAGCTCATTTAAAGGCCCATCAACCATACATTGCTCTGTCATCTTTATTTGATGATGCGAAGCTCATTCACAGACTCATCGGCCATTTATCGCTCCATCTTTATTTGATGACGTGAAGCTCATTTTCAGGCCCATCGGCCATATATGGCTCCGTCATCTTTATTTGATGATGTGGAGCTCTCATATAGGCCTCGCGGCCATACATCGCCCCGTCATCTTTATTTGATGACGTGGAGCTCTCATACAGGCCTCTCGGCCATACATCGCCCCATCATCTTTATTTGATGACGTGGAGCTCTCATACAGGCCTCTCGGCCGTACATCGCCCCCATCATCTTTATTTGATGACGTGGAGCTCTCATCCGGGCACCTCGGCCATGCATCGGCCCGTCATCTTTATTTGATGACGTGGAGCTCATCATACCGGCCACTTGGCCGTCTCTCCTGGTCATCTTTATTTGATGGCTTGGGCTTCTTATAGGCCTCTCGGCTACATGTCTCGGTAACTTTATTTGATGACCCGGACATCAGATTATGGACGGTCACTCGACCTATCTCTTAGTCATCTTTATTTGATGACTGGTACTAGTTATCATGCCGAGATGCTCACATCTAGAGACTGGTCTCGGCCATCCCTGTAGCAGACGGACACCGTTGCAGCTCCACACCTAGGCCGAAGGGCTCACCCCTTTTGCTTCATATCGGGGGCATCCGGCGTACTCTTTTTCTCTCATTTGGATTTTTTCCCACAGGGTTTTTTTCCTAATGAGGTTTTTAACAAGGCATCTCCCCAACATGGACAAAAGGTGTCGACCCTCGGCCCCCTATTGAAGACATCACGAGACATGCACCATTATACTCCTCTTCACCTCACTACATTCACCTCAAGGAGTGGGGGACTGGAAGAGCGGGGGACTTAGCGTCTCCGTTAACCAAAGAAGCAGAAATTCAAATTTTTTCACGAGTATTGTCACACGCACCGACGACATCGTCACATCATATGCATATTCAGCTGCCTGCCACATCAGCCAGTACATATACATAGCTCTCTGGCCTCAATATCGATGGTGATGGTCTCTGGTCTGCAACCTTCGGCTGAGGATTCTCCCACAGGGTTGCCTCAGTCAGGGCTCACCAATGGGATCGGATCATCAGCTTGGGAATCCGGGTGAGGCCCTTCAGCAACGACAGCGGTTTAGTCACCAGACAACGACAGATCAGCACACAGTTCTACTCTTTTTCGCCTCGAGTACTCTCGACTCAGAGAGTGGGGGACTCCTGATAGAGTATATAGACTCAGACCCCCGGGTCTCACGACTATTGGACCCGGACAGCGGCCCACATACGCTCAGTAGATAGCATTTATCCCATCGTACATTCTATTTTATTCATGTATATCCATTAGAATAGATTAAATACCATTTGTTAGCCATTTATTGGCCTTTTATTGTAACTGGGCCTCCCAGACCTAAGCCTGGAAGCCCAGCCCACTTTTCTCCTATAAATAATCCCCATGGGAGCCATGTAAAGGATGTGAAATTCATTTATACATCACTTTATCTCTCTAGATAAATAATCTATCAATTAGCTTAGTCTTTTTTTGTCCCAGAAAGGCCACTCAGGGTGGGGAAAGCGCCAGGGAACACTTTCCAAAATTATTAAAAGAGTAAATAACAAAACCAGAGTTTAAAGTGAAAAGTACAAGATAAGACGCAAAAGTGTGAAGCGAAAAGTTAACAATTAAAATTTATAGGCACCTCGGCAATTGTGGAGAGAGACTGATTATACTTGTTATGGAACTGGATGGCCCTTTGAAGGTAAGGAGGGTACGTCTTTGAATCTGGGTGCATTGACTTATAGCGTTTAAGTCCTGTTGCCAGCTTGTGGGGCGAGTCATAGTTTGAGTAGGTTGGGTAGATATAGTAGTCTTCGTCATCTTGAAGCGTATGTGATTGACTTTTAGTTAACATCGGGTGGTCGTCATACAAAAGCTCCTGGGTAGATTTTTCTAGGGGTGGGTGCGGTTCCAGAACGGTCAAGTAAATTGGTAAAACTCGTAATGTATCCGTGAGATTTTTAACGGTCCGGTACGGTCCGGTTCCACGAATAGAACTGTTCGGTACCATGTCATTTCGGAATGGTACGAAACGGTACGGCACAATGCCAAACACATGCTAAAAATTTGAACAAATCTTGCAATTAGTAGATATCATCACACCAAACAACTCACATGAAATGTTGATATAAATACAAGATATTGCATACGTAGTACGGAGTACTAAAATTCACAAACACATAAATAAGTGCAACACAACTAAGAAAAAGTATAGCAAAACGATGACGCACGAGATAAATATCATCTTTAATTTACTAAGTTCATGTGAAAATATAAAAACGATTATCATCAAATTATTATATATAATACAAATCTTCAACGTTCTTCTTCATTCTACGTTAAATATTACTCCGCAGTTCTAATTTAATTTATAGTTGAACCTCGAGAGCTAAGATTTAAATCATATTAATTAAGTTGTAAAAATTTCACAAACATGATACAACAAAAAGTCATGTACACTACATTACTAGAAATGAATAGTATTAATGATTTTTAAAATTTTAATATTCTTTCAATACATACCAAAATGTAACATAAATTATCTAAAGAGAAAAAATAACAATATATATAAACACAGATTTAAATATCTTAGGGACACATGAATACATATTTGGACTATAAAATTATTGGTCTATAAAAGAAATCTATTGGTATTGAAAAATATAAAAAATTCAAATGCATTATTTTTGAACGGTTCGGTCCGGTATTTTTCACTTCTTAAAATCTAGGACCGGTCCCGTACTCGTTTCAAATGGTACGGTTTCGGTACGGGATAAAAATCTATAGAACCATTTAAATACCCGATATTCGGTTCGGTACCACTACGGGACGGTTCGGCACCAATTCAGTTTGGGTTTTATGCCCACCCCTAGATTTTTCCTTAGCTTCAGCTATTGCCTTTACAGGATTTGGATCCACCATCTGTTCCGAGCCGTTCTCAATCACCTCCATAACTAATTCTTCGATATCTCCGCTTTCTGTCACAAAGGTTTGGGCTTCTTTCTCACTTTTTTCTTCCTGGGTTGTTACTAAGGTCCCAACTTCCTTCCTTATATCTTGGGTTCCTTCAACCGAATGCCCCTTGTCCTCGAACACCCCTTTTTCTTTCTCCGCCAACTTTTTGCAAATAAATGGATGATGTCCATATTCTTTGAAATGAAAGCAATAATGTAGGAAAGTTTCGTACACCACAAGTTGCGTAAAAACCTTCCGAGATGACAGACGTATGGGGAATGAAAGTAGGGGGAGGTTTGGACACATCCACTTCTATTCATACTCTGGCAAAGTTGTGATTAGTCCTTTCGTGGGTGATCATATCTAGGAGTGGTTCGGTACGGTATACCGAATATTTTCTCTCATACCTTTACCGTACCAAAACTTTCGGTATGCAAAATTTATATACCGTTACCTTACCGAAGTTTCGGTATACCGCATTTCGGTATACCGAAGTTTCGGTTCGGTAACGGTACGGTATCGATAAATTACCATCCATGTCTCCCAATACAACAAATTATCATAGACTAACGAAATATGCTAAATCGGTGTTACTAGTGACATATTTATTTCATTATTAAAATTTTACAAATATAATTAATAATCTATTGATGTCATACTCAATATTGAACAATAATTATTATTAGTATATTTAAGCAGTTCAACATGTCACGCATTAAAAAACAACACATTCTCCTAAAATAACTTGAACGATATAGATATAATTAAATCAATAGTGATATCTAACAATAATAAATAAAATTATTCAAACAACATGGATATAAAATTATTTATTCCTAATACTACCTATGTCCCAAAATGTTTAGCCAAATCTCAAAATTTGAACCATGGTTTTGATTAGTATAATATTATGAAAGTTATAAATTTTATACTTTTATGAAAGTACTTTTAATAAAGAACAATTTCATATAATTTTGATATTATAAATAATTTCTAATAAATATATATTAATCATCAAAGTTTTGGATTTGGCTAATTATTTTGGGTTGGCGGTAGTATGATATTGTGCATTTAGTCATTTTTATATTTTTTTAAAAAAATGAATAAGACTTTCGGATAAAGTTGTATGCCTCGACTTGTGGAATCCCTATGTAGATCCTGTCACATAAGTGTACCTCTCTCCACTCATCAGCTACTCAGCCACTCAGTCATCGCAACTCGCAAGTTCTTGGAACAAGATGAACTTGTTTTTAGACATCAGTACATTACTAATTAGTCATTGGAGATTTGTAACCAATGTAAGTATTGATTTAGGGCTTCATAATTGTAATGGAGTTTTACAATACTCTAGAATTAAAAGTAATAATTGTTGGACAAGGAGTCAGTACGGTATTATACCGGTATACCGCGGTATTTGAAAACATTTACCGTTACCATACCGGAAGAAATCGGTACGGTATGATACCGGACCGAAAATGACGGTATACCAATATTCCGGTATTTTTCGGTATTTTTCGGTACGGTAAGTGCGGTATACCGATTTTCCGGTATTTTTGCCCACCCCTAATCATATCTGTGTTTAGTGGAACCCCGACCATAGATGCGACCTCACGCATTGCTTCTTCATTCCAAAGTTTCATTGGTAAGTTAGGTAATATGACCAAATTGGCACTTTAAGGAATTCTTCATCGTCGAATGAGAAGTCCTCGGAGAGTACCTTCAACATGAGTAACTTACCAAAAATAGTGTATGGTCCCTTCGTCAGCACTTTCGGCCTATCTGCTTCATTTTGAAATTTAAAAATAACCCAACCCCTAGCATGAGCCTAGCATGAGTCTGAGCAATGCATTTGACCCCCCCATTTCTATTTTAATTCGTAGATTGCTTTTAGGCCGGGGCCTGTGAATAACCGAACAAGGCAATAGCCCCACATCTCTACCATGATTGTCAAAGCCCTATCAGCAAAATCCCAAGTATTGCCTTTTGGAGGAATAAATCTCAATTTGAGTCCTTGTGAAGGGAATCAGTTATCCTTAAACAAGGCATTCCAAGGTTTATTAATTGTTCGAGCTTCTTTAGGAGTAAGAGTTGAGGTGTTTACCTCGATTAGCCTTGCTGTTGGACTATTTCCAGAATGGGACTGTCCTGCAACTTGTTTTGCAGCATCTTGTGTAGCAGCTGTGGTTAGAGCTCCCAATTTTTCCACCTTGTATAGCAGTAATCACACCTTCGTTCAGAATACTCTCAGCATTTGGGTTGATTACAACATTGTTTCCAGCTGTAATAGTGTAAGTCTGCGCAGAAGAAAACTCCGATATGTCCTGCCCTGCAGGTGAAATCATCGCAGAAGCTGGAGTTTCCAGAATTGCAGGTTTCATCTTCGTTGCAGCAAGTGCTGGGAAATCTTCATCTATAGAGTTAAGGACCTCAAACCTGGAAGCTGTTGACCTGGTAAATCGTGGCTGTGAAGGTTGACCGTAGGTTTGGTTCTTCTTCGCCATTTTTGCAGAAATTCGATTCAGAATTCGGAAGTAGGGCTCTGGGTTAAAAGACAGTACAACTCTGTTCTTCTAGACAAGGAAAGTCCCAAACCGCTTTCCAGAATAGATTTAAGTGACGGAGCACGAAGAATCAACTTCGTCGATGAGCAGATGGCCACCAGTCGTTGTTGGTGGTTTCCGACCAACACCAAAGATCACGCGTCCCAAAATGATCGAGAAGATGCTTCGTGAGACTGGAATCCCCAAACCACTTATCGATTGAATTAAAAAACACCAAGATAGAAGATACTAACAAAAATCTAAAGCGACGGTGAACAGTGAAATTTGCGATTGAAATCCGTTTCCTTGGATTCTGACCGCATAACCGTTGCTGCTAAGGTCGGAACCAAAATCAAAAGTAAAGGTGTGTCTAGTAGCTGAATAAAAAACGACCGCCTCTCAATCCATGGAGGAGCCGGTGAGTCAGGTCGATGAATCTTATCCCAATGCGGAAGTGAGGATAGAGAGAAGGGAGAGCTTATCTCTGATCATAAGCCTGGCTCTTCTTGATTAGCTTAGTAATGTTTTCTTATATTACCTCCCTCCCACTCAAAGTTGTGTGGGAAATTACAATAGTAAATTTATGTGATTTAGCTTTGTGCAGAAGACAGAGAAATGAACAGAGTCACAAAAATCTTGCTTTAAAAAGAAAGTGGCAAAAAATTTTGAGAAAAACAAAAAAGGAAAGTTGTCAAAGTCCAGTGGTACGGAGAAGTACTAAGCTACCTTAGTCCCATTTTACGTGTCTCCCTTTGACTTGACACGATTATTAATGAAGTGGTTGAAAAAGTAAAAATTATTGTTGAAATTTAAGTATAATAAAGTGAAATGGTGTAGGTCACATATTTTTTTCCAAAAAAGGAAATGCGACACTTATTTAAGGATAACTCAAAAATGAAAGCAAGACAAGTAAAATTGGACAGATGAAGTATAAAACATAATAATATTTCTCAAAAAAAACATAATAATATTTCTCAAAGTAGGACAAAGTATGTTTTATCCGACTTAATTAGTCATGTTTTCTTATATAACATTATCAAAATTTCCCTAAGTTAAAATTTTAAAATGACTTTTTAAACTCTGTGATTTTTATTAACATTCACTGAACAGTTAAAGTCATGTATTAGCAAATATTAAATCAAAAGTGATGCAATAATCTCTATAGACCAAGGCAATATTAGTTTTTTGTTTGAAAAAAAAAAGCAACAATGTTAATTGCACTCTCATAAATGACAAATGCATTTAAATTTTTTATTTGACACCATATATAGATTTACATTTGCGAAAGAAAAAGCATATGTAAGTTTGAGGTGTTTACCTCACCCTTTAAAGTTTGAGTTACGATGAACTATTTTTCTCTATAATTATTTAATTAACAAATTGTTAACAATTCTTCTTAAGTTACAATGAATATACAAAAATGATGACACAAAAAAGTGTATTTTGATAATAACAACAATCTTCTACTTCGTTCGTAATTTATTAAGGCCAATAAAAGAAGACTGGAAATAAGTCAATAACCTTATAATAACATAAGGAAGTGTTCGCTTTAAAAAGTGATTCTTTACAGTGCTTTTTGAAAAAATGCTTAATAGTAAGAGTTGATAGTGTTTGATAAAAAAAAGTTTCTGAAAAAAAGTAAAAGTTGATCGTGTTTAATAAAAAGGTGATTTTAGTGTCACAAAAAAAAGTGAAAAACACTGTAAAACACTCTATCACCTGCTTTTGGCTTTTAGCTTTTAAGCACTAATCCAAAGCACACAAAGACTGTATTTCGGAGTTGACCAAAATCGGAGTTGAGCAGCTTTGAGCAAACCGGATTAAATCCTCTAACTGAATTGTCTAAATCTATCAAAACTAACAAGAGTTGATCAAACTAGGCTATACCAAACTAGGGATAGACTAAACCGGGCCGGGCCGGCCCGGAACCGGCCCGCTACTGTGCGGGCCTAGACCGGACCGGGACCGGTTGGCCGGTTCCGGGCTTTTAGCCCGTTTGGGCGGGTCGGGCGGGGCAGGCTCAGGCCCAGGTTTGGGCAAACCGGGCCAGGCGGTTCGGGCCGAGCCCGGGTCAATTTTTTTTTCAATTTTTTTTCTTTTCCTATGGTAGGGCTGGGTGTTTTGGGGAGGTTGGGGGTGAGGGGGGTCGGGGGATAACAAGAAAGCAAAAAAAAATTAGACATTGAACTGGGCCCGACCTGGCCCGGCCCGGTTAGGCCCGGATCCGGTATCAACCCAGGCCGGTTCCGGGCCCAAGGATTTGCAAAAAAGCCCGCCCGGGCCCGGCCAGAACCGGAACCGGACCGGCCCGGAACCGGACCGGCCCGGGTCCATCCCTATACCAAACCATAGTAACATACCCGACTCTGACTCTTTGTGTAATGAAAGACACATATATTAATATTAAATAAATAAAAGGGAAAGTTCCCAAAATAGGAGTAAATTATTTCAAAATATGTAAATATGTTTTGAAATATGTTTTGAACTTTCAAAATATAACTGCTTTGTTTTTCTTCTCAAAATAGGAGTAACATGAAAATATTTTATGTCATCTTGTAGTACTTGGCAAGTTGGCATTAATCATCACGACTCCTATATCGAAAAATAAAACCATAGCAGTCATATTTTGAAATTGTCAAAACCTATTTGTTTAAATAAAAAACATCTTAGACTAGAAGCTCTAAGCTAAATGAAAAGGTCTAGACTCTAGACAATAACAATAATATGATACATATAACGGAGGTAGGTAAGAGGGGATGACTGGGCCTAAGTCCACCCATATTTGAGAAGTGCTTGCTCTTTATATATAAAAATTTATGTGCAAAAATTTATACTTTGTAGCAGACTAGTTTAACTTGTTTTCATGGCTACATCAAGGCCTACAACAACAGCAATATTTGCTCTGTTTACAGAAAAGCACTACAAAACTTCTTATGAGCAAAAAAAGACTATTACAGACTAATTCATATATTTTCATGAAGTTCTTCGCTACAAAATGATTGAGAAGCTTGAGGCACATTTTTCACCTTAGATTCATGCATCTCAGCATCAAAAACTTGCCCAGAAGTATACAAACCTAATCTGTATTTCATCCAAAGAAAAAGAGAAATCATCATGTTTATTACAAAAGGTGTATCTGTTATCATACTAGGTACGATTTAACCATATTAAGCAAGAATACAGCCAATTAATTTTTATGCATCTCAAAGAACCAAAGATATGTGGCTCATGTAGTAACAAATAAACTTATTACTCGGCAAGACCCAAACTAGAATTACTACTCAAAAGGGCGGAACCACAACAAAATTTAAGGGGGGCATAAAAAAATCAAAACGCCGGGGCATCAAATCCAATGCAGAAGAGTTAATCCAATTTTCATGAAGTGACTCTTTATTTGGACCTATATATACAAGTAATTCACACACAAGCGTACATATACACATATGAACTTAAATATAGACATTTATTCATTTTATACTTGTTTTGTTAGTCCTAAACAAAGTAATTGACTTCTTTTATCAAGCGAGTTTATTTTGATTTAATACGCTTGTCCTTTTATTTTGAAATATCAAGGCTTAAATAGAAATATAGCTAAACAAGTAAAGGAACATAAATTAATAATATATATAACTTACTAACTTATGAAGAAAATAATAATTTTGTTTCTCTTTTAAATCAACTTTACTTGTAGGTTATTTATATTTTAAAAGAATATTTGTTTTATTTATGCAAATGTATTACATAAATCTAATTAGACTAATATAAATCAGATATTTCAAATATTAAAAAGAAATTTTGGCATATTTGTACTAAACCAAAGAATAAATAGTTTTTTAAAATTCAAGTCGCTTTAGAAATTTTCTTGATAAACTGCTTATAAAATGATATAGGTTAATGTTTGAAGAGGGAAGAAATGGTTAAAGGTCATATTTTAGTGTTATTGTACTAAACAGAAAATGTAAATAGCATGTCAATATACAAAACAGTAAATAAGATACTCCGTAAATATTTTGAATTGGAAAAAAACAAATGTCAAATAGAAGTAAAAGAAATCTAGGGTGACGGGGAAAATATTAAAAGTAATAATGTCCAAAAGAGTGAGGCAAGTGAAGGAAGTTTAATACGTAGCAATTAAAAAGAGGGCAGCGAGACTCGAACCCACGTTTCTACCAAAGATGAAGGATGCTTCTACCATCACCGCTATTCCTACTGTTAGTCCAGATTCGGGTCGATTAATATTTATTATTTCTCTTGAGACAGGGCTGAACATATATATACATATATATACACAATAACCTCCGGCAAAGAGGGGGCGCACCTGCTCGCACCCCTAGTTCCGCCCTTGACTACTCACATATACTTCACCATTCAAATTTTTAACCTAACCCTTCTACTTTATCATTATCATCATCATTCTCTAAACATTTGTTGTCATTCCCATAACATGTTACCATGATATTATTATAAGAATTCCAAAATTGCACACTTCTTTGTGCAGGTGGCCTAGTACTAGTCTTAAATGAATTGCTACTTAAAGGCATATTTATGCGAACAAATTGGCATCATATTGGATGTAGTCACAACAGCAGCGGAAAGAATGTGATTTCTTCAGGTCAATGATTTTGCATCAATCATGTTTTTGGTAGAAGCTAATTCCATTTCGATCCGGAAAGACCAAAGGTACGGTGAAATCGTCTTCACTTTGCATAATATATTAATTTCAGGTCACTAGTGACTAAATTGTCCTAATCTGGTCCAAATTTCATGAATAAAAACACTACATATTTCCGGCAAACAAACAGCTAATCAGTTCTAGCGAGGCTTATCGGTGATTTATATCAGTTGAAAATGCAATAATAACTGCAGCAAATACAGCACAGTGCAACAGGAACAGATGCACAGAAAAACTCTCAAATAGTTAATACGGAGTAATTATTAGCCTACTATTCTTCTTCAGATAAAAAGGAATTACGGAGTACTATTTAAGTGGATTGTAAAAATGAAGTGAAAGAATTGTGAAAAAATGAAGTAGATCTTTACCTTAAAAACATTTGACCAGCAAAGCTGGTCAGCATCTTTGACTGATTCCCAAGAAATATGCATCAGTTACATATAGCAAGGGTAGGCTTTCCTGATGTGGACTCATCAGCCACTCCATAGTCAATGCTAAGTTCCCTCAAGGGAGGGATGTTCTCCAGTGCAAAAAGCATTAACCTAGGGAAGCAGACATTATTATGATCATATAGCACAAGCTGCACAAAGATGTTCGGAGATGAACTATGGCTCATGTAGCAGCCTAGGTTCCGCATTTTCGACACATCCATCGCATAGTCAACTGGAGGGATAGAGGGTTGAGTTGGTGGTACATAGTCATGATAAACTTGTGACACGTCACCCCATTCCGTCCATTTTTGTGCAAAACAGCTCGGATGGACCAAATTGTCCCCATTCATTGTAAAAATCTGGACTTGCTCTCTTGTCAGGACAACCCCTACGAACTCACATATAAATGAGCCAGCTTGAATCATGTCCAATGATCTCACACCCCAACCGGTCTCTTTAGACCGGAACACCTCGAATTTGTTCCTAACCCCTCTCTGACTGACTCTGTTTCTGCACGACGAAGGGCAATGGCAGTGGGGCCCACATTCGAAAATCAACGGCTTGCCTCTCTGCAAGATGCCATTATTGTCATAAGGAAAGTCGCCGCCGTTCCTCATCGAACAAAAGCATCCGGGCCCACATCCATTAATGCAATCACAACCAGTCACATTGCCGACATGGACGTGTGGGGGGAATATGGTCTTTGCCAGATAATCATAATAAAGAGGTTCTTGATCAGTATCTATATCATTATACAAAAACACAGGAATGCTTTCTTTCTTTCTTGATATATCAAGACTGATATACCCTTTTGGCCTCACCACTAGTGGTTGAGTCTTGAGAGACTGTGCGTACTTAAGAACAGAACTTCCCATTTCCGGTTGGTTCTCAAACCTAACAAGCTTATACTTGAACACTCCAAACCCAGATCTACCCACATCGCACCAATAATCCACAATTCTGTACAAACCATCATAAACATAAACTTTACCACTTACACTACCTTCATATTTGAAGCCGCGGATTACCCTGACCTCTATTCCATAGGTCATGCTCCTCTCCATTGCCAGATTGCCGCCTTCTAGCTTCTGGTCTCCGCAATGTTTGTATGACTTGTTCTGTCCGCCGTGGCCTGTGTAGATTATTACATCTCCAGTGTCCTCATCATCCTCGTAGCACCCAGAAACGATCACGCTGGTTGCTATTGGTTCCCCGTTTGAGCTGTGGGCCGCGGGCACATAGTCTATTCCGGCTTGGGCTTGCCCGTGCAGCCCGACCACACAGAGTTCCATACGGTAGAAGAAGACGTCTCCAATAAAGAGTCCGGGTATGGGTCCCACTATGCGCTTGTCGCGATTCAGCCATAGTCCCTTGTGTCTCATCAGCTGAGCAGATTTCAAGTCTGCTCTGCTCCTCCAGCCCCCGGTCTCTGGTTTCTTCTCGTCCTCCATTAGAATCCGAACCCGGATAGATTCGTAGAGAATCCGGGTTCTCCTGATGGAGTCCCTGAAATACATCTGGTCTTCCGGTTTGAGATCCGATACCCTGACCAGCTCCGCCGAGCGTTGCTTGATAGTATCCGTACTCGAGACGGCACCACCGGAGAGGTGATGGTCGTTGTTCACCGGAACAATGGCTCTAGAATCCGGGTCATCCTCAGCCTCCATGTTCCCGTACTGCTCCATTTTCTGAGCGAACGAGGCTCGGAACATCTCGGAAATACGGCTGAATTCCGAGTAGACATCTGTTCCTCCGACGCCATTCAAGCTGCTTTTATCATCGGTGGACTGAGCAGGAGGAGGGGGAGTAGAGAAGCCGAAAATGGAAACCGCACTGGAGTCAAAATCGGAAGCGGGGGTAGGGTTTGACGAGAAATGGGGTGTTTTGAGGGCGGAAAGAGTCGCGGATTCGTCAAACGGTTCGGGCTTTGGCTGAACTATTGGGACAACCTTGCCGGCGGGAGTTGCGTTGGAGGCGGCAAGCGGGAGATTGAGGTCGTGAAATGGAAGAACAGAATCCATTAAATTCCCCACTCGGTCTCCGTCAACCTGCAGCAGAGTTTCCTGATGTAGAAAAGATGGCGTTATAAGCAGAAAGGGAGGTGGTGACTCATCAAAGGAGATACGTGGCCGTGAGAATCGACTGGAAACGGCGGTCTTGTAGGGCTTAGAGAGGCGGGTAAGGGATTTCGAAAAAGAATAAAAAAGGATAGCCCCCAAGTCCGGGTATTATGCGTTGGGTGGGGAGAAGAGGATGACCCTTTTTATACTCGTTTGATTAGACACGTAACTTTTAATTTGATCGAGTAATAATTAAAATAAATAAGTCACTGACTCATTAACAGTGACGGTTTCATCTTTCATCTAGCTTTCTAGCGATGACAGCATCATATTCATCATAGCTCTCTGGCTCGCTACCAACGATGGTTTCATCTTTAATCTAGCTTTCTTGCGACGGCGACACAAATAAACTAGTGCAATTATCGGTGACTACGAAAATAAGTTCATGAAGGAGACCAAACCGGCAGTTATTTGTTCTTTTGTGTATCGTTGGTGTGTCTAGGGAAGAAGACAGAAACGGGAAGAAGACGGGTTGCACGATAAAGAAGAGGGGAGAAAGAAAAAAGAAAAAAAGAAAAAGAAAATTCCCTAAATAGAAATAAACAAACATTAAGTTCATAAATAAGACTCTTTGTTTTATTCTCAAAATATGACTCATTCACTCGTATTTTAGTCAATTTATTCTTTCAATTGAACTGCATACGTTATATTTGGAGAATAAAACATACTTAGAGCTATTTTTAAACTTTGTGTATGTTTTAGTCTAAGAAAATGTTGACTAAGAAAGTAGGAACACAAGATAAAGAAGGAGGCAGGTTAGCCAAAGAATAAACAAAAGGAGAGAATGAAAGAAAAATGAAAATGGAAAAAAGTATAATGACAGGTAGGCATAATAACAGGGTAATTTAATCGGAAGGTCACCTGCTAAAATAGAATTGATTGTTTTTACGTAGTTCACGGGTTTAACTAGTTTTTTTTTTTAATTCGAGAGTTTAATTGACTTCTTTTGTATTTGTAAAGTTTTTGTATATCCCACTACTACACAAGCAGTGGCGGATCTGCTAAGGGGTCGGGGGGGCGGTGCCCCTGCTTCGGTCATCGAGCTAGGGTATAGGTATGGGTTGTGGGGGCAGCTGGACTAGTCTGTAGAAGTTTTCCAGCAAGCTGGAGAGTTGTTTGACGTTTGCCGACGCACGGGGAAGAACGATGGTTTGCTAGAGACTTCTTTTTTGTTCTAAGTGATACGACGTCGTTGGACACTTGGGCAAGGCTAAGGAAAAAAGAATAAGGGCCGATGGGCCAACTGGCCAAGGAAGGCTCAATTGCCTAGCAGGCTGCAGGCTGCAGCCCAAGGCCCCAAACCAAGGCCAAGCCAATTAGCTTAGCCAACAACCAGTGCATTAAGGTCATACGGATTTACGTTGTTACAGAGATGAACAGGTCAGCCCCTGGCGCAAGCAACAACCACCGAAGCAATAGTGAGCCACGCCGCCACACTGAACAGCCAGCCACTAGCTGCCAGCTCGTTGAGTGTCGTGCTTCCGTAGCCCAGTCCCGTACCGCCTTCCGCCCTGCATCGTCCGCCGAAACTTATTTTTGTTTTTGTTTTTTACTTGAGTCTATTTTAATATGATATGATTTCATGTCATTGTTCAACTAAAGTCTCCTAAATGATTATATTTTTATACCACGTAATATTTCTTTTATATTGTCCAATACCTTAAAGCTTTATCATTGGACTAGTTACGTGATGCGCGTTGCGCGATCAGGAAAATGTCCAATAACAACTACAATCATATAACTCAAAGCTACAATGAGATTAGACATATAAACAGACGATTCAAATTGAAAAGGCTTAATCGCTAATCTCGTAAAGAAATAGACTCTAAATTCAGGTCGACGGCTCCTGCTACGATCACAATATATAATTCTCAAACAAACTACTTCGTATTAAACATCCCGATCTGTCCAGCCGCCGGCAAGGAGCCAAGTGTAAAATTTATTCCGCTTCTGTCAGCCACCGGAAAGAAACCAGTCCATGTGATCTCAACTTCTTGGAACAACGGTGGTTCAGGAGGGTGTGATTCGTTACAATATCATCGCAGATGAAAATCATATTCTCGATTGATGAAGATATCAATGCAAACCTCTTATTAGCACACATGAACGCCCGACCGAAGATGACGGTGAATATAAATTTGGAAGACGACACTACGCCATCGAAAATAATATCTCTAAACAACGTTATAAAAGAAACATATAGATAAAATTGAAAACACTGATCAAGTATACATTTTTTCATTGTTATCTATAATGTTAATATGTGAATTTGTTTCTTAATTATAAACTTGTGCATAGAAGTAATGTTAGCTATTTTCAAAAAAAAAAAAGAAGTAATGCTAGCCGCTTGAACACTAATAATTAATGAAAGGTGTGGATCGTTGCGCTTACCGCTACACTAAAAGCAATCGCTTATAGTGTAGCACGCTCCTCCCCCTTTATAGCACAAGTGAAGCGTCACGCGGTCCGATTGCACCGGCAGGCTGGCTGTTGCTGGCACCGCATACCCGCGGCCCAACAATCTCCCCCCAGCACCTGCCAGCCTACAACTGCGCAACATGCTGTTGCCGGGGGTCGAACCCGTGACCTTGGCTCTGATACCACTTGTGGATCGTTGCGCTTACCGCTACACTAAAAGTAATCGCTTATAGTGTAGCACGCTCCTCCCCCTTTATAGCACAAGCGAAGCGCCACGCGGTCCGATTGCACCGGCAGGCTGGCTGTTGCTGGCACCGCATACCCGCGGCCCAACAAAAGGAATTGCATATATTACGATGGTTGCAATGTAATCAGTTCATGATTGAAAGCAAAAAATGATGAGAATTAATGTTTGAAAATGATTGAAAGCACACAAATTATTTAAATCATGATTTGTACAAAATGATGAAAAAATCTAAAGGTACACACTTTGACAAATACGTTTTGTCTAGGACAGACAAAAAAACGTCTACACAGACGCGAGTGTGTAAGAGTGTGTACACAAGTGTGTTCCCCAAGTCCGGTTCCAAAATGATGGGTCATGAGGGTGGGTAATCATCACTAACTAGTGATCCACCAGTAATTCAGAAAGTTGTAATCATACTTCCGTTTAAAACGTCCAGATGCCGTCCATGGTTAGAGTGGGATCCATGAAGCAGGGGCGTAGGCACGAGGGCCTAAGTCAGCTATGAGCCCACTCAAATTTACTGAAAAAATGTTAGTGATTGGCTCATCTTTCCTCTTCGATCCATTTTATTAAGATTGTATCATACTCCGTATCAAATTTGGTAAAGTTTTGTGATTCTAAATCATTATTATTTATACTTACTTTATTAATTCAACATCAATCACATAAACTCATTTTCTTAATAACCGTACCACATCATCATGTCCCAGTGTTAGTGACACGGAGGTGGTAATAATATTCAGATTAGATAAAAAACATTTAAATCAAACCAAATATTTTAAAAAATTATTATTGTTGTTATTTGTAATATTATTATTAGTACCATCAGTGATATTACTATTCTAGTAGGTATAGTTAAATTGGTGCAGTTAAATGTTAATTTTAACAATGAATTGATAACAAAACTGAGGGAAAGTTATCTATGCCTTAGTTTTGCCGCTTTATTAATTAAATCCTAAATTTTCAAGCTTGCATTCTAACGGACTTGCTCAGTAACCATATAAGACTATTTATTGGGTTGTGAGAAAAATTTTGTCTCCACATAATTCTAATTGACTAACAAACATACAAAACATATGGATCCCTACATTATTTCAAATAGCATGTCTGGTTTCACATTTTTTACTGTGAGAGAATTGTTGTAAACATCTGTTCTAAATTGATTTGCAAAGTCAACATTTTTTGGTCAATCACTGTTAAAGTTAAATCCTCTCTATTGCTAATTAACTGAATTTTTAATAATTAAAATTTACATATTCGGAAACTACATTAAAATATCTTCAAAGTTGCTAACTCCAAAATTAGAATTTAATTAAAAATTAGCATCCAAATTAAGTGAATGAAATGAAACTGTTCGATAAAAAAAAGTCAATTTTGCAAATTAATTTGGGACATATGTAGTATATAATTTGGTGAAATTTTATAAAATGAATGTAGATAAAAATACAGTTAAATACTTCGGATAAACAAGCCAAGGACTTCGAAGGTCAAGACTTCTGTTCTACAAGCTGACAAGTCATATTATAAGCTGATTTCCGTCAATGGTCGAAATTCCATAATTCCGAGGATCTATAACCAGCGGTTGATTGGGGGAAGGGTGAATAACAAGAAAAAGGGAAAAAGGGTAATAATAAGAAATTAAAGCAAACAATTCAATTGGGTAAAATTAGCTCTATTAGAACCCAATTGAAGTTGTTAGCAACAAAGGAGAAATGAAAAGTTAACGGAAGTTTAAAGAGGTGAAGACTAACGGAAAAAAATTAGAAAAGTTAGAATATAATTTAAGGGGTACAATGTTTTAAAATGAATGTACAATTGAATCCAGCTGTACCGTACCACCAACACATTTCGTATATCCAAACAACCCTTACTCTCATTCACTCTTATAAGATTGTAGAGATTTCAAAAAAAAATCATACTCGTACTAGTAGAAGCGACTAAAACTAACATAAAGTGTACTCATAGAAGTAGGTTTTGTTGTGAACTTATTGGTTTAAATGGAGAAAGTTCCCGAAATAGGACTAAAACAGTTTGAAAATTCCAAAATAGGTCTGACATGTTTTTTATTCCCAAAATAGGACTAATTACTGCCATGTTTAGAAAATACTGCCATATTTGAAGTCTGGTACTGCCAAAACATGGCAGTAATTAGTCCTATTTTGGGAATAAAAACATGACAGACCAATTTTGAAATTTTCAAACAGTTTTAATCCTATTTCGGGTAATATCTCGTTTAAATGTTATCTTGTTTGTTTTAGTGGGATATTAGTCATATTTGTATGTATTTTATTAGAATCTTTTTAGTTACTCTATTTTTCGGCTTATCATGTTTATCTGTCATTTTTTTCACCAAATATATAACTTCTGATTTTGTCATTGAATTGTACTCCCTCCGTCCCATTAAATTCTTCCCACTTTCTTTTTTGGTCGTCCCAAAATATTCTTCCCACTTACCGTTTTTGGACAATTTATGTGTTTCACATTCATTTCACATTTTTCTTACACAACCACAACCATACATTTCCACTTTATTCCACTTTCTTAATTTCCGTGCCAAGTCAAAGTGTGAAGAATTTTATGGGACGGAGGTAGTATAATAATAAGAAAAAGTAAGGTTGAAGTTACTGTAGAGGATCATTTTAACTATTTTATCATGTAATTTTTTCTTTATTTTATTAATAAAAATATAGTAAATATTTTTTTCATAAATCAACAGAACCAGACAATTCAGCCACTTCAGCCAGAACTTCATAAATTTCAACAGAATCATCCGATTCAACCAATTTTAGTATTACCAAATGGGCTCTTAATGTACGATTTCATTTGTTCTAACTTGATATGATCTAAACTAGCTATGACCAGAATAAATCAAATAAACAAGTCACTCAAATCTTAATTATGTTACTTTTTACATTGATTTCAAGTTTTATTATACATTTCACATTCCCCATTTTGTAAATTTAAAATATTTGGGTTTTAAAAGCATTTAGAGCATATGCAATGCTACAATGTGCACGGTGCACATGTGACATGAAAGATAGCCACATAAATATTAGCAATTAAATTATATCTCTCATTATTTGAATAATTTTATACAATTTTGGTATGTTTTTCTCTGCAATGTCAACCACAATGTCAACATCTAGACAGACTTCTTGACATTGTAGAGAAAAACTTACCCAAATTGTATAAAATCATTCGAATAAGGCGATAGATAATTTACTTTTCATATGCATTATAGCTTTTCTACATAGTACAGATGCACTAAAATATAAATTATGTATTTATAGAAATGCATTTATTACTGATCGACATTTGAACATTGAATTGGATATGACTGATGATCGACATTTGAACATTGAATTGGATTGTTTTTACAAACACTGCCTTAACGTTCTTGCTTTTAATTTTAAGAAATGTTTGATTTTCTATTCGAAAGAATGGCAGGAATATTATTTAGGGAGTTTAGAGGGACAAAAATATGACTGTTATTTCTCTGGACAAAAAGTGACCCGTGTTCGCTTCTCTCTTTTCCCCTGTGCCATACCCATCCTCTCTGCGCCTTCACCATACAAATTAAAGCTCTCATCTGCGCCTTTTCTTCTCCCCACAGAGAGCTCTCCTTCCCTCAGCCTTTTCTTCTCCCCTCCACTGATCGACAACGCTCTTCGCCGCCATATCCCCATAGAGCCTCCCCTTCTATTTCTTCATTTTTCTGTCCGATTTTGGGAGAGGTGAACAACTGCACGATTCTTCGTTGAGGATTGACGCTGGTGTGGAGCGGTTGAGAATTGACGTCTCTATAGATCAATTCATCATCGTCCTTGATGGATACTTGAACGGATAGATTTCCAGATCTAATTTCCGGTGGCTAGGGTTGGGCGAAAGGGCGATTGGGTACAGCTACGACAAGTCGCGGACGGCGTTGGGCTAGTGATGGGGGTAAGGGGGTTGCGAAGCTGGGGCGAGGGATGCGAGGCTGTGAGGCGGTCTGCGAGGGCCTGGACAGAGGAAATGGACTGGAGAGTGGTTGTGACAGGGGCTTAGAGGGGGCTAGGGGCCACGGGCTGGAGGTTGGAGGTTGGGGAGTCAAGTCGGGCTGGGGCAGTGGTCGTTGGTGGTGGTCGGCGGTGTTTGGTATGGCGGTGGTGTTGGTCCCTGGGCAGTGGCGGTGGCCGGCCGGAGTAGTGGTGGCGACTGTGGCAGGGAGGGGCAGTGGAGAGGGCGCATGTGTGGGGCGATTCGGCAGCGGGCACCGGGCTGGATGGCAGTTAGCCACTTGTTTTGGGGTGCTAGGTGGGGGATGAGAGGGCGGTCTATGAGAGAAACATACCAGTTTGATGTTCACTAGCCGGCCGTGCATGTCACTATTTTTCGGAAAAAGTCTCCTAAAAATTTTCCAGCAATCATAGTGACACGATTTACGGCAACAGTGACGGCCAAAAGTGACACGAAAGTCGATAGTGACATTCAAAAGTGACATAGAAATCTGGAAGGGACATATGAAATGACATAAAACTTTGATAGTGACATTATGTTTTCCAACTATATGACTTTCTTAGTCATATTTTTGTCTTTTTTCAAAAATAGTCACATTTTTGATAATTGACTTTAAATTAGTAATATTGAACCCTTTCTATTGAGGTGTTGATATTTTTTGTACTAATTTTAAAAATATGTTATTTCATATTATCCCAATTATGATGATGATGATGTGGAGTTAATAATCAAAGAGAAGTTCATGATATGGATGATGGAGAGATAATAATCAAAGAGAAGTTTATGATATGAAATGAAGCTCTGATGACACACAATCATTGCTTTGAAACTGTTGATATGACATTAAAAGATTTTTTAGATTTCACAATGGTGATAGTTTGAAGCTTCCATTTGGAGGATTTTGTTTTTGTTTTTAGTGGTCATTTTAGGCAAATACTCTATGTCACACCAAAGGATCCAGGAAAGAGGTTGTTCATGCTACTATTAACCTCTCATATATTTAGAGACATTGTCACGTTTTCACTTTAACAAAAACTATGAGGTTGCAATGTGATTTTTCGCATTGTAATGTTGATGAATTGAAAAGTTTCTGATAAGTCCGTATTTAGATACGCATTTGATGCGTGTTCGGGTTGGATTTTGATGGTTTTCCTAGCTTTAAGGTGTTGCAAGTCTCAATTTTAGCTCAAGTTGCGATTATCAGGTGTTGGGTCGAGTTTCTTTGCATTTGGAGATGAATTGAAGAAGTTAGAGATCAGTAATCAGCACTTGAGAGGTATTCAGGAAGGATTTGAAGGCATTCGAAGAAGATTTGGTAGATTTGGAGGTCATCGGGACATTCACGACGAAATTCTGATGAAGAACGAGTAATTGATTGACCTCGTATACATCCGGGAGCGTTTGGAACAAGGAAACGAAGAGAAAGTGAAGAATAAGGTCACGCATGGTCGTGCCCGGCGTTAGGCACACCGTGTGTGCCTTGTAATGAAGCGGTTAAGCTACTGGAGGCCAGGCACGGTCGTGCCTGGTAGTCAGGCACGCCGTGCCTGAAGTGAAATGAGGAACAAGCTACTGGAGGCCAGACACGGTTGTGCCTGGCAGTCAGGCACGCCGTGCCTGGACGCGTTTAAACGGGTTTCTTCCGCAGGCACGGTCGTGCCTGGCGCCGTGCCTGACCCCGTTTTGTCCTAATTAAGCCTAAATTACCTTGTTTCCTTGAAATACCACTCTCATAACCCTAATTAACGGGGGATGGAACTTATTTAGCAGTTGAAGGACGAATTTGAGAGCTTTTAGCCCTGGTTTTTTCTATTCTTTGAGATTCTTTGTACGTTCCTACTTTTTAATTAATGAAAATTATTTCTATTCTTCCCAATTCTATTGATTCTTCAATTATGAGTCGGGAGTAGTTTTAATTAGGGATTTGGGATTGATGAAGGGGTTAATCACGATGTATGGTTAGGTTCTTGATGGTGTAAATTGCATGAATGCCGTTTAATTTGTGTTTGAATAATTTAATTGTTATCTTTTGTAACCTAGATGGCCACTAGAATTACAATCGCATGTAGGATAAATTAAGAGAGATCTAATTTATTCTAGGACACATTCACACACACTTAATCGTTCGCTAAGAGATTAGTAGCGATTAAGGGGCCGTAAGCTCGTTCGCTTTGGCAATAATTTAGGATCATGTCGCATGAGAGATCAGCCTTGTTCACTAAATTATTGTACTCTACGCCGCGAGAGCGGTAAGAACTTAGTATTGATTTGCTAGGCTCAATTAAATTAAATTCATGTAATTAGGCCTGATCTGCCAGAAATCTGATTACCCCGGAATCAATCCCTGTTTTCTTCGTCGTTAATTAAGAAGAACCCAAATATTTACTTTTATTCGTTTAGTTGCAATTTTACTTTTCTCAATCAACCAAATCTCGCACGACCGCATTTATTTTATTTATTCTTTATCACTAATTTTAGTTAGTCCTTAATTCCCTTTTACCGTCCCTGTGGAGACGATACTCATACTTATACTACTATATTACAATCTTTTTACGTGCGAGAAAACTTAAATATGTTTTTGGCGCCGTTGCCGGGGACGGTGTCGGTCTTAAGGGTTAATTTTACTCAGCGATTCGTTTTTAGTTTTCGTAGGATTTTTGTCTGCTCACCTTGCAGGTCAGATCTGTTTATGCATACACGCTCCAAGAGGGGAGAACCATTAATCCCTCTTAATCTTGAGATTGAAAAGCTCGCCAGACAGAACCGCAAGGCTCACAAAGAGAAAATTACCATGGACCATCAATCTTCATCTGGAAACATAGGGTCATCTAGTAATCCTAACCCTACTTCTCAGCCAGATTTCTATCATAACAAATCACCCCAATCTTCACCACCAATTTCACCTAGAAACCCTCCAGGTTTTCAAAATTACCGCACTCCGATCTTTTCCCAAAATCAACATTCACCACAATTTAATCTCCCTCCATTATATCACCTTTTTCAAAATACCCCTACTACTCCTGAAACAAATTTCAAAACCAAGTTTATGGGATGCAAGGAGCAGGGCAGAGTATCCCCGTTTTCCAACCGAGACAGAACCCACTTCCAATCAATCAACCTACATTCCAAAATTAGACCCAGTACCAAAATCCATACCCCCATCAGTTTCAAAACCAAACCCAAGTCTCACCTACTCAGCCACAACCAGCCCCCAGCCTAGACATCAAATGTCGCCACCCAATCCATATGTACCGCACAATAATCCACTCTATCAGCGCCAGACCATTGCAGAGTTCGTTACACCAAACGTTTCAGAGTATGATAGCATTCAGGTGCAGGGAATTACTACCAACCATTACGAAATCAAGCCGGCGGTGATAAACATGGTGTCCAATAATCAATTTGGAGGAGGTACAGAAGACCCAGTGGCACATATTACCCGTTTCCTGAGGATGTGCCAAACTTTCAAAATACCTGGGCTTACTGATGATCAGATGAGAATGATGTTTTTCCCTTTCTCATTGAGGGACGATGCGCAGAGGTGGTTGGACAGTAATTGTAACACCCCTAAATTTCCCGCCCAAAACATTGATATATTTAAAAGAAATACTTTATTCATTCATCAAAGAATTGAAGAAATACAGCGGAAGTCTAAAAGGGAAATGGGTGTTACCGCCACATTCGGTCATCTCTTAACCGAATGCACAGGCAACTCAAAGTAAAACAACAAAAGCTAATGTAATAATAAGTAAATGTTTGTTTCATGACTAGATTTAACTAAGGCATCTTCTAATTCGCACTCAAGCTCGAGCAATCCATCAATCCACATAGGTATCCAACTCATCACCTGATAAAATTTAAGGGAGAAGAGAGGGACAAGAAAAATAACAAAAATTAGCTTTAGAGCTAAGTAAGTACTACGCAACCCCGTAAAATAATTAAGTTTGACAAAAATAGTTTTTCATATAATACTATATATAAAAATACTCACACCACCGAAATTCTTTTCAAAACATTATTTATCAACAATCTCAAATACCCTTATAATTAAAAATAATATTTATAAGCTCCCAACAATGAATTAATATCTCAAAAGAAGTATCACTTTTCAAAAATAACTTTTGAAGCTAAAAATATCACCATTCCGAAATCAATGTCACTTTCAGATTCTTTTAAGATGGGCGAAACTCAAGATTCCTTGAGCCCAATGAATCGTTGTTGTGTACGACTCATCCCGGAATTCCGGCTCCCACCGACCACCAATTGGAAACTGAACTTCACCCTTAAGTGTGCACACCCCCTAAAAGAGATTCCAAGCCCTCCGAGTAGTAAGAAGTCCAAGTAGTTCGGACAACGTCCCCCTACCTCACAATGGGTTAGAAACCCGGGTAATTAGAAACTACTACCGCGGCCACCAAAGAACTTTTAAAGTTCTCAAAAGAAATACCGGGAATCTCCCGCCACCAATATTTACCGGGATTTCTCCCGCCACCAATAATCATCATAAACCTAAACTAAACCCGCGGTATATAGCTCTAACCACCCACATCTCGTGTTTCTCTCGAGATGTCAATAATTATTGAAAAACATTATTCCTTGAAAAATCATCTTTCTATATACAGTCCTACAGAGTATCTATTTAATAGATACGTCCACCAAAAATTCACATTCATAAATACTCCAAAATTCTTTTACATAAAAATTCACTCCAAAGTCATACTAGGGATTAAATCCCAAAATATACCTTCAATATTTCTCAAATTCTTAGTCACCCCAAATAGTACACATTCAAAATTCACACTTAATCACATAATGCATAATAAACATATAATATGAGGAAACAATTTTGGATTGGCAGAGAAACTTACCTTAAGTCCTGATGCTCCTAGTTATCCTCCTCTAATCCGGTCTCTAGATAATCACCTTTTTAATTAAATATGATAAATTAGTCACTTATCCTATTTGTAATTACTTTACCCGATTTTCTCCTTTTATTTTATTATTCGTATCACTTTTTATTAATCAAATTACCTTATTAATTCAGCCATTAATTACAATATTTGAATTCTAATATTAAGTAAAATATCCGAATATAATTAACTACAACATCCAATTTTTATTCAATAATCACCATTAATTTACTCTACTCATAAATTATTATCTAATTACTTTATTTATATTAACCCATTAATTTATGAATTCAAATATTTTAAATATTTACATGAAGTCCGAATATCTAATAATTAATCATAAAAATTATTAATTGAATTAGTCCACTAATTACATAACTAAGTTATTTATTAAGTCTACATATAGTCAATTATTTATGCTAACTAACCCAACCTTATTTTATTTTCCTTATTTTATTCCAACATCATTTTTAGTCCAGAATATTATTTTTCAATCTCAATGATTTATTTATTTCACCATTAATATTAATATTTCCTTATTTAATTACTTAACTAGTTTTATATGGCCCAATTTAATTAAATAGACTAAGAATCGACTTTATAAATTAATAACCGTCTATAACTATATTTTGGGTCTATATTTGACCTAGGTTGTCCAGATATCTATTTTATAATTATTTCCATAATTATTCATTTAATTTCATATATCTATTAACCGGTTCAATTACAA